CACACATTGGTAACAGAATAAGGCCCAGGTGTTGATAAGCCACACATCCTCATCTGGTACTCCATCGTAGTAGGCTGTAGACTTGTAGTGTACCAAACCAAGAAAACAAGAAAAAAAATGTTGTGTTTTAAAAGAGTGATTTTACAATGCTTGAAGAGGTACCGGGATTATAATTTGGGACCTCACGATATCTTCGGCACTATAAGTTCCGAAATTTGCATTAAAATTTTGGTAAATCTAAGTACTTATTAAGGACTATAAAATTACTTTTCAAAAAGATAAAGTACTTTAGCAAATTCTCATCACTCCCAGCGTATTCAACGGATTCGGCTATATCCATTTGGCCCTGCTGCAGTTCAGAATAAGGGTTGAATTTATTCAAATATCATAATATATAAGTAGAGACTATTTTTAGGGCATATACAATAGTCTTTATTAGTGATCTCTCTCTATTGTTATGCAAATAAATTTGATGACATAAAAGAAAGAGAAATGAATATGGTTGTTATGCATGACAACTGCTCAGAGTTGACTCTTAGCATTTATTAGAGCAAATTTTGTTGCATGGTGATGAAAAAAAGGAAAGAAGAGTAAGAAAAAGTATTTTTATATATTAATGATTATAGACCATATTGTCTCTAACTGTTGTAGGATGCTAGTCTCTAGATAATATAAATCTCATATCTAACTGTATCTTTGTACATGCACTTAGGTCGCCAAAATTGGGTTACATGAATGAGACGGCCGAGTTACGGTGATGCCATCTTGGCTATTTCCCATGGCTTCTCCGCTCTACTCTTGTCCCTGTTTGGATGACGCCGTCCAGACCAAGACATCAAAACGGGGCGACACTGTGAGGTTACGGTGTCGCCATTCGCCACAATGAGCTCACCATGTCACCTTGTCGACATTTCGCCGCATACAAGTCGCTGTGCGACCGCCAGGTGGGCCCCACTGTGAGCAGCACGAGTGTGGCGCGTATATAAATTTGTCGGATGGAGAGGCAGCTGAAGGTTTTTCGCCATGGCAACTGCGTCCTTCGACATCTGCGCGAAGGTTGGGCTCGGAATTTCGACAGGATACTCACAGCGAAATCAATACTCTGCTATGGCAAATGGTACGCACTCGTTTCGATTGTTCTGCCTTCTTCTGTTTTATTTTTTTTCCCGTATGTAGCTGTAGCTGCTGATAAACGTGCCATGTATTCCATCTCGTTCTTGCAAGCAGTTTCTTAGATGAGTTAAAATATGTATTCCATGTCAACTGTTCACTTTAGTTAGGTAGAACTTTCTTACATTATGATTAGTTATCTACTTACTCTCTCTGTCCGATAATAATTATCGCATTGATTTTTTTTATAATGTTTGATCATTCGTCTTATTAAAAAAAATTATAGAATTATTTTTTTTATTTTGTTTGTGACTTGCTTTATTATCAAAAAAATAATTTAAATATGGCATATCTTTTTTTATATTTACAATAATTTTTCAAAAAAGATGAATGGTCAAACGTTACACGAAAAAATCAAAGCGACCACTATTTTGGAATGGAAGTAGTACCTGTAGAGAAAAATTAAATATTAGTTCTTAAGTGAGTGTGGACCGAAAAAATTCCTTATTTATCATAAACACGTTTTCCAAACTTTTAAATGATATGTTTTTTTAAATATATAAATGAACATGTTCTTTCAAAAATCAAATAAATCACTTTTTCAAGTTTGTACTGATTAATACTAGACTAATCATTTGCTAATTGTTTATATTGTTTTACTTGCCATCATAACTCATGCCAAATTGCTTTTCCAAACCCACCATTAGCCGCTGTGGCAAGCTCAGTTGCTAGCTTGAGGAGGACTATACAAAGTTGCACACACGCCATGGTACTAACGAGAACTGGAAAATATGTTGACTGGAAAAATTGTATCAGTTCATATTAGAAACAAATTACTGTCAGAATGAGGAAAAACTCAGTCCATGCCACTAAAGGCATCAGATGCGAATTGGCGCTCCTTTCTCCTTTCAAGGAGTAGGCATAAACATAGGCTCTGCAGTAGTTTCATCTGAAATTTTAAGATCAGCTGAGGTCTTCCAAGAACCCATGTTCTTGGAAATCACATGTTCAAGCTTTAAAATGCATTGATAAAAGGCGGATATCATGGTAGCGGCCATTTTAAAATGCATTGATAAAAGGTGGAAAGAAAAAAAAAACATCTCCAAGTGTACCTTGGATTGTGAGAACGATAAATATTCTAACAAAAAATTTGAATGCTAGAACGACAAGTAAACTGAAACAAAGGGAGTATTAGTGAAGATTCAAAGCAGTAGTAAGTAACTAATTTGAATGTTCATAATGATGATATTGTAACATAAACAATGATAGAATATAAGGTTTAAGGTTAAGTTTTCATAACACACTATACCATTTATATTTCATTTCCGGAGTCCAAACATTACCGAATCGGAATAAAATGGTCCTTACAAAACGGGGACAACCTATACGGTCAAAAATCTCAATATGGTTTTCATTCATGTTTTAGGTTGTGTTCTTTTGGCAGTTGAGAACATTTTCCTAGCATGCAAAACGAAGCAATGGACAAACGTATGATTAATTAAGTATTAGCTAAAAAACTTAAAAAAATATATCAATATAATTTTCTTAAACAACTATCTTATATAATTATTTTTTAAAAAAACACATCGTTTAACTGTTCAGAAAACATGCGCACGAATAATGAATATAGAACTTGGGAAGAGGGAGTATAGAACACACCTCTGCTACCGTACGTAAAAGTGGCGTAGTGGTAGAGGCACTACTACAGAAAGTGTTTTTCAGTACAAGGGGGTTATTAGTTTACATGCGGGCGGCTTAAACCTTATAAATTTCTGTACGAGGGGGTCATACTATGGTGGCCAAAATCTATCTATTAACTTATAAAAGTAATAGAAAAAGGAGGCTCCAAGTTCGCTCTTATGACTTAAAAATTCTCACATTAATTAGAGAAAAATAAAAAAAAGAGTCCATATTAAAATACATTTTATAAATAATTAAAATTTAGAACTAAAAAAATAAGAAATATGGAAGAGAAGACTAGAGTCCATGTAGATATACAATTTAGAACTAATTAAAATTTAGAATTAAAAATAAGAGATTAAAACTAGAGTTTAGAGTCTATATACAAATATAATTTGTAAATATATAAAATTCAAAATTAAAAATAAATAATATTGTAAGAAGAGTCTAGAGTTCATGTATATAAAAAAAATAAAATGGCTAAAATTTGAAACAAAAAAGAAAATATTAAAAGATGGGTTTAGAGTCCTTAAAGAAATATATTTTACAAATGAAATAAAAAAAAAGAGTCCATATTAAAATACATTTTATAAATAATTAAAATTTAGAAAAAAAAAAGAAATATGGAAGAGAATACTAGAGTCGATGTAGATATACAATTTAGAACTAATTAAAATTTAGAATTAAAAATAAGAGATTAAAACTAGAGTTTAGAGTCTATATACAAATATAATTTGTAAATATCTAAAATTCGAAATTAAAAATAAATAATATTGTAAGAAGAGTCTAGAGTTCATATATATAAAAAATTAAAATAGCTAAAATTCGAAAAAAAAAGAAAATATTAAAAGATGGGTTTAGAGTCCTTAAAGAAATATATTTTACAAATGATTGAAATTCGAAATGAAAAATAAGGAATATTGAAAGAAAAGACTAGAGTCTAGGTATGCAATTTAGAACTAATTAAAATTCTGAGATAATAAAATAAAAATAAAAGTAGAGTTTAGAATCCATAAAAAATACAATTTTTTAAATACTAAAACTCAAAATTTAAAAGTAATTAATATTGGAAAAAGAGTTTAGAGTCCATACAGTAATATAATTTAGGAATAGCTGAAATTCAAAATTTAAAAAGTAAAAATATTGAAAAAGGGGTTTAGAGTCCATATGTCAGTGTTACGGTCCACCTTAGGATTTAGGAACATAAACTGACACATCACAGGTGGCCATCTTAAGCTAATGGGCCAGCCGCCCAGCTCGTTTCTATCTGCAACATAAGGCAGAAAACCAAGGCCTTGACATTTCTTTTAGGACACACGGGCTGGAACGGCCCCGGCCCAATTAATTAAATCCTGCTATTGAAAAAGGGTTCTGTAATTAGAGTTCCTACTACTATACATACTTCCGCAAGGTAATCTAGCACCCAAATCAAACTACAGCCAACGTGTATCATCAGTAGATTCCACCCCAAGATCGTGTGCCCGCTCCGATCGGCAGAACCTAATCACGACCAATCCGTCGCCAACACAGCCACAAACCCACAATTACGCGGCGGTGCATTCTCGTTGCTTTGACGGCTTCGCTAAACGAAAGATATTTACCGTGGCTAAGCAAGCCCTGATCACACGTTCCACACCTCGCAGCGCCACCACATCCGAGCCGATCGACCGGCCCAACCCCCCCGTGAGACAGACTCCAGAGGCCGCGAGCGGTGGCATCGTCATCGCAATATCAAATCCACATCCACATCTCCATCGAGCGATCCACCCACAACCTGCAACGGCGCGACCCAACCGCAAAGCCGCTCGCATTGAAACCCGCGTAGGTTGCCTTCGTTTTCCGCCCCGCGGCGGCCCATCATCCGCGCGCGTGTGGACCAGGACGCGCGGGCGGGGAACCGTTGGCCACGGCGCCGCGGCGCGTTATCGCGAGCCTATCCGCGCGCGTGTGGCGCGCTGGGTGGGTGAGGCGCCGAGTGGCCCGGATCCACCCGCCCAGCCGGGCCGCACGCCCCCCCTCGCCCCAGCCACCCGGCGCCGCGAACGACCCATCACCAGTCACGTACGCACCGCTCGGCGCTCGCTAGCTGCCACCATCTCCCTCCCGCTGTCCGGGGGCGCTGGTTGTCGGCACGCGGGGGCGCGGGCGTCTATTTGTTGCGCGCGCGGGCGCGGCGGCGAGACGCGTGTGTAGCTACTGCTATAAGGAGCGCGCCGTGCACCGCCTCTCACAATGTCGACCGCCGCCGCCGCCGCCGCTGCCCAGAGCTGGTGCTTCGCCACTGTCACCCCGCGCTCCCGCGCCACAGTCGTCGCCAGCCTCGCCTCCCCATCACCGTCCTCCTCCTCCTCCTCCTCCAACAGCAGCAACCTCCCGGCCCCCTTCCGCCCCCGCCTCATCCGCAACACCCCCGTCTTCGCCGCCCCCGTCGCCCCCGCCGCGGTACGTGCATTATGCATGGTCACGCCACCCCTGCAGCTAGCTGCATGCATATATACACGCCGCCCGGCACCCTTCGATATCTCAAGCTTTTTTGACACGTTCGGTCTCATGCTAATTTAGCTATAACAAGGCTGCATATACATACACGATACGTGCATGCACGCGCCTCGTGCTGCATTAGGCCCGACACATGCACGGGTCGTACGTAGCTTGCATTCCTGCCGCTCTCTCTAGCTCTACGTACACACAACATGTCATTTGGTTTTATCCATACCTGCAAACTGTGCAAGAATGGCTACATGCATGCATGCATGCACTGCAGTGTTATATCTAAGACTAATAGTCTAATACTGTGTGTCTAATTGTCCATACCTCGAAACATAGTTGTTTATGCGTCAATCCCACGTACCATCATCACACACACCCCGCAACTCGGCAAATTGTCCAACTAAGCACTGTTCCGTGACCACCGACTCTCTTAGTTTTTTAAGCAATCATTGAACAGTGTACAGCAAAAGAAAATGTATGTTCAATTTTTAATCAACACTGACAACATATAGGAGTATATATTGCATATTGCCCTTCTTATGCTTTTTTCCCAATTTGTTTTCTGTCAATCAACGTGCACGTCAACAAACTCTAAATAGAATATTCGGGAGGAGAAAAGGTTCCCAAACAGTTGGCCAATTATATTGTTCATTAGAGATAAGAAAGCGCTTTGGATATAAAAGATACCCCCAAAAGTCTTGAGTGGAATGAACAAAGCTCCAAGTACATTAAGAAATCAAACATCTAGGCGGCTTTTCCCTCAAACGATAAGGTAAAGTTCTAGCAGGGACAGATAGTGTTCGTTTTCTACTTTGTTTCTTTTTCGCTTGAGGAGAAGCGTCCATGATTTAGCTTTAGTAATGGACTGTCGAGTCACTATCAACTTCGTTATTTTAACAATTATATATTTTCCATTTTATTTTGAAAAATGATACGGAGTATTGTCTTTAGTTTCTCAAGCCATATAAAGATCATAGTATCTAGTATATACAGAAATGCTAGAAAGGTCAAGTTTGCTGTTTTTCTAGGCAATTTTTTATTTCTCCAAACATTAAAAAGGGAATTTCACTGTAAATGGTTGAACTCAAAATATTTTTTATATTAATTTTATTTCGTACGTGGTGATCTGACTTGTTGGGGTAACCAGTACAAGCCCTGATTTTTGTTGCAGTCAAGGTCAGGCTGAGCTTGACGTTGACCCTCACCAAAAATTGAGTGGTACAAAACCATTCAAGACCATTAACTGATGTTAGATGCACAGATGAGATGTCAACAAGAAAATCCACCTGTTATCAAAACCGGTTTGAAATGTTTCCTTAATATTTAGGGAAATTGAGCTTTCATTAATCAATACCGGCGAGGGTACATCCAACATGAAAATATATTTTTTTTATTTAAAGAGTCATATTGGGAATTAATTTCTATCAATTAAGCTCTACCAAAATTTGCCTAACAGTACTGAAATTCCTGGTTCATGTATACAAGACAAGCCCCAACATTAAAACTAGCTTGCAATACTGATTTGTCAACCTATACAGTCATACAGACGCATACCCGAAAGAAACACCTACTCTGTAGGAATATGCCTGTGGTTGCAGTTAACGGATTAGGGACCAAAACCTTCCCATCTTGTGGCGAAAAGCTAATTGTACCTTGCATGATGTACTACTAGTAGGGGACCTCTATGCCATTTGTGTTTAGTCAAGTAATATGGGCGCAAAGATAAGGAAGATTCCGCGAAAGAGTAGTTGGCCGATTGGCTCTTCCAGCTTGCAAAGCGACCTCTCGCCTTGCCGAAAACTTACTGTTCCTTTTCAGATCAGCCTAAGTGCCTAACTCTCCCGTTAACTGGGATGGCTGCATACTGATGCATGCAGAGTAGTTAGCAGTTGTTTTTGTCTAAGTACTGCAGATAGATGGATAAACAGAAAAACTAACTGCTGAGTAGTGACAAGATCAGTTCCGGATTAACGCGCCAGATTGCGCAAATCCAGCATAGATTGTGTAGCTTGCTCCCGTACTACTGGTACTGATATAGTAGTTATTCAGGCATATGGGATACTATGAAATGGTTCTTGGTCTCGTTTGGAGCTATTGTTTCTTGGATCACGGAGCCAGTAGCTGCTCCATGTACTTTGGTCACCTGATGCACCAGGCAAAACGGCTCTTAAGATGTGAGGATGCAGTAGAAAACTGCTCAACCTGGCAGGCATCCTGCTGACGCTTCCGAGGCCCAAACAGCGCAAACAACTTGTAGCACTTGGATCACCCCAGAATCCCAGATAAATCTTGCTGCTGGGTTCATGCATGGTGAAATCTGCATCTGATTTAGATAATCTTGTATTTGTCTTGCAAACAAATCCACTTTCAAGATTTGTCTGATGCGTGACATAAGTATAGTAGTAAGAGGTTGTCAATGTCTGCAAAGTAAGAGAGGAGGAGAGCTGATGATCGAATCAGAATTTTGTGAGGTCGTGAAGTTGCTTCAGCTTTAACTTCAACTATCAACAATCAGATACTCCACAAAAGAAGTGCCTAACGAGGCAACCCTACTGCTAAGTACTAGCACACACAAACACTAGATCAACCTGAACCTTTTTCCTTAGCGCGCACATGATTTAATCAAAACAACTGCCATTCTTCCACAATAAGAAAGCCGTGCACGCACACATGCTAGTTAGCTAGTAGTTTCATTTCTGGGATCAATAGTATAGCCGTCACGAGTCAAATTCAAAAAGAAAAATAAAGGACGATCCACACGACCGTTTATATGTGTATACACACTAGCAAGGAGTTGTTGATCATCTGGATGCATCGACTTAAGGAAAAAGGCATATGACCATTTCGTGTGACTAATCATACTCCCTTAAAATTAATCGATCTCCATTTTTGTAATCATAATCCTGCATCATGCAACCCCATTTCTTACTTGCTCTGCCAAAGGAAGGAAATTAAACAAAACCCGCAAAATTATGTTTGGCTGAACAGCATACCAAAACAGGGGGAGGGCTCTTGCCATTCCGATCGGCCATTTATTTTGGCCACAAAACCAGCCCCTCCATCCATCCATCGCTGCTATATTTTTACCTCTTTGCTAGCTGCTCCAACTCACCGCGTTCCACGTGGCGCATGCATGTTTGCTAGTGATCCGGGAGGCCGCGACGACCGCCAGCGAACGGAAGGGAAAAAAAAAAGTCAAAAACTAGAGCCGATCGTTTGATCCATTCGATATAGGGAAGATGAGTGGATGCCTCTGCCTCCCCCGCTATAAAAAGGCCCCAAACGGGACGCCATCGCCACCACCACCAGCAGCAGCGGCCGAAGCGGAAGCAGCAGCAGCAGCAGCGGCGACGAAGCCGTCCATAGATTCTTCTTCCTCCCCGTCACTCCTCACCAACAACCATCCCCCACCCTCCAAGGTCCGTCCCCCTGTCTCCTCCTCCTCCCGCACCATCCGTCAATACAGTTACTGCTCTCATCATCATCCATCCATCCTCTTCTCCTCTCTCTCTCCTTTTCTTGATTCATCCGTCGATCGATTCGCGCGGGCGTGGCTTCCTTTTTTGTTGGGCAAAGAGAAAAAAAAGGGAGATCCTTTGCATCCGCTTTAGATCGCCTTTTGTGCATGCCTCGCGTGGGCGCAGGGAACCCACAACGACGGCGATATCCTCCTCTCTCGCATATTTTCATGATGCATATGGGTGTATAAAAATTTTCACGCGTTTTTGTGTGCGTGTGTTCTTGGTTTGGGATTGGGATGGCATGAGAGCTGATCGGTGTGATTAATTATTTTTGCTTGCAGATGGACGCCGCCGTCGACCGCCTCAAGGATGGGTTCGCCAAGTTCAAGACCGAGTTCTATGAGTAAGCCCCCCTTGCCTATAGATGGTTAATTTGAGAAGAATTTGGGTAGCCGCGCGCGCGGCGTGAGATGAAACTGACATGATCACCTTGCTGTTTGTCTTTTTGTCTCCTCCGCAGCAAGAAGCCGGAGCTCTTCGAGCCGCTCAAGGCCGGCCAGGCACCCAAGGTACGCTGCTCCGTCCATTTCCTGCTCAAAATTTGTTCTTCTTTGTCTACTAGTGAGCCAACCCAGCCAGCTGGAGTTTTACGGTTACTCCTCCATGGCCGCTACACCGTCCATCCCTCAGCTCGCAAACCTCGTCAGCAAAAGAAAAGCCCCAACCTTTTACCCCCGATCTCTGCGGTTGATTTGGGGATTCGTGAACACACCTTGGCCCACAGATTCCTACCGGTCTAGATACTACTGCTACTCCCAGGTAGAAAGTACACGCATGCTTGCAACCTGCAAGCAAGGCAACCAGGCAAAGCATATAGCCTTGTGTTTGCCCATCCGGTGTACACTGTTTACGGTGCCCACAGCATATATGGCCATCAAGGTCAAACTGGACAAAAGTTAGCAGCAACTGGCCTGTCCAAGTTGCCTGGCCAAAGTTATATAAGAGGATGAACAGCTTGTCGCCGGCCTGTTAGGCCGGGGCTGGCTGATCAGTTATATACGAGGATATGATAAGTACAACCAAGATTATAAAAAGAGAGAGGGAGATTAGATTAGATTAGAATGCTCCATTTGGCAGGCGTACGCAGCGCAATCTTAATTAGTAGCTCGGGTATTGGTAGGCCAGGCAAAGAAGCTGCTGTAGTAGTGGAAATCCTTCCTCATAATGCACGCACCCACCACCGAAGAAGACGAGGCTCGCACCTAGTAACATGCAGGATTTCTTCACCGTCCCCCATGTGCTTGCCCATGTTGTGTTTCCGCCGAGATGTCGCCTTCCTCGTATAGGGTTTAGCATCCATCATCACTACTGTTTTCCTTTTGATTTCTTCGTTGCGTCCAGCTTAATTTTAGAATAGTAAGAGCAAGTTTAATAGTACAGCCAACTACTAACTCCAATTCATATATAGCTAATCTAGAAACTCATTCATACAATAGTTACATACTACACTACTAATACCTGATCCCACCTGTCATACACACACTGTGTCTTGGAGTCCGTGCTAGAGCTGGCTACAAATTTATAGCCCACTGCTTTTCTCTCTTTTTATTTAGCTTCTTAAAATATGTTTACAGCTAGCTTATAGCATGCTATTGTACATGCTCTAATAAGCTAATTAGGTCGTCGATCGAGGCTAGGGTCTCCTGGCAGCGCCTCGGTCTAAATTGGCGTACGTCGTCCTAACATTTGGGTACAAAAATTTGGACCGGCCGGCAACCTCGCTGTACGTGTTGATGAATTTCAAAGTTCATTTGGACACGGCCATTCTCATGGGGATACTGCAATGATGCCCAAATTAATTTGGGCGATATCATCGTCTTTGCTGACCCCACACAAGCTAGAACGTACCGTGAACCACAAGTTCTCTTTTGTTTATAGCAACGGAGAAGAAAGAAACAGTGGATAAAGCCTTGCAGCTTGATATACTCCATACTATAGCTGTAGCTAAGCAAAAGTATTTCCTGTACGACATGGCCCGGAGGACATCACATAATTGTGGGCCCAGCAATCACGCATTTGTTTGCACGTCCAACTCAACAGCCTTTAACGAAAGTTTAGGCGCATATCCAACCTTTTGCTTACACTACATTTTGGCATCTGCCTCGCTATACAGTAACTTGGATTGGCCAGCCACACGCATTGATGAGCAGGTGCAAAAGTCCAGCAGTTTGCATTACAACATGCGTACATATATACTTTATTAATATCAAATCTCCTCTCCCGGAAAATGATGGCCCCCATCCAAAAACATTAATCTACGCCGCAACTGACTGCCTGCTGCTGCTGCTGCCGTAAGCCCGTAATCGATCGGCCCCGGCAATTTGCTAAAGGGTGGGGCCTGATCGCCATGAGCATGCTTTGGATGCGTCAGCTCGCGTCTTAATCTAATGCTCGGTTATTTGGCCGTTTTTGTCTCCGTCGGCGTTGTCGCCAGTGGGATCGTTAGTTCATTAGGATTAGTACTAATCAGCGCAACAGTTATATGCCCCCCATGGGCCATGAACTCATACTCGTCCGTGTCGTGGGTTATCCTTGCGTATCCGTTCTGTTTTCTGGGTGGAAAAAGTGGTCAGGGAAAACAGAGCAGACAGGTCAAAAAGCTGGCAGCTTTGGGGGCAAGAGAACGGGAAAAAAATGTCAGATTCCTGTGGGGGTTGTGGGCACTCGGATACGCCTATCAGCATCTGCTGCCTCCTTATCGATAAGAGCAGTAGTGGTAGTACTAGTAGAACAGATGCTAATCGCCTAATCCTAATATGCTTATTGATCTCCTGATATGGCTGTGTAATCGCAAAATTACTACTCCACTACTAGTTAGTGTGGAGTAATGAACTGAGCTGATTGTTGGGACAAATGCAGTACATGGTGTTCTCGTGCGCCGACTCTCGCGTGTGCCCGTCGGTGACCATGGGCCTGGAGCCCGGCGAGGCCTTCACCGTCCGCAACATCGCCAACATGGTCCCAGCTTACTGCAAGGTAACCAACTTCATCGTACGCGTTTTCGTCGCCGGCCGGTCGATTGGTAAGCTAGCTATTCCGGTCGGTCGCCGCGGTTTGCATTGATTTTGACCCCCCTCGTGTGTGTGCGTCAACTGCAGATCAAGCACGCTGGCGTCGGGTCGGCCATCGAGTACGCCGTCTGCGCCCTCAAGGTCAACTCTCTCTCTCTCTCTCTCACAGATAGTGCTCTATTATGTCAACTATATAGTACCCGTTGCTCTAATTGTGCCGGCAACTTCACACACCGGATCAGAGAAAAATATTTTCGTACAGGCTGAGAAAAATGGGTCGTGTCTGACGCCAGATGGTGTGTGAATTATTTTATTGATCAAGAAGAATCTTCCCTTCCCCACATAATCCATCCAGCTTAGGTTTATGTAGGGTGTGTAACATTCATGGTGAAGGTGGTACTTGCGTTACATATGAATCTTGTCAAATCAAGCAGGGAGCATAATTAGCGCCTTTGTTTAGTATATTTGGACGGTGTTAGTAGGAAAGCACCGTACTTTGGTGAAATCTATTTTATGCTCATACAGCACATGTATGCGTAAAGTGTGCGTGCACGATTTGATTGTGGGGTATTGACCTGGATCGAATAATCTGCAGGTCGAACTCATCGTGGTGATTGGCCACAGCCGCTGCGGTGGAATCAAGGCCCTCCTCTCACTCAAGGATGGAGCACCAGACTCCTTGTAAGTTGCTGAACAAAAGAAAACTTAGTGATAGTACTATAGTATTGGCAACTTGGGCATAACTGTATGCAGACAAACAAAGGGTTGAAGAAATAAAAATGTTAGCGTGTCTTGATCATCGTTTGTTTCTGACTCGGGTTTGCACTTTGATTGGTTCAGCCACTTCGTCGAGGACTGGGTCAGGACCGGTTTCCCCGCCAAGAAGAAGGTTCAGACCGAGCACGCCTCGCTGCCTTTCGATGACCAATGCGCCATCTTGGAGAAGGTAACGCACGTACTAGTAGCATGACAACCACTATGCATAAATCAAAATGTTAAATGAAATTGGAACATCAGAATTAATTACATTCATAGGAAGGACAATCGAACTGTCTGAAACTTGCGTTGTCTATTCAATTCAGCACTGACTGAATTTCTGCGTCCCTGATCAAAACAATTGATCTGATGATCTGCAGGAGGCCGTGAACCAATCCCTGGAGAACCTCAAGACCTACCCGTTCGTCAAGGAGGGGATCGCCAACGGCACCCTCAAGCTCGTCGGCGGCCACTACGACTTCGTCTCCGGCAACTTGGACTTATGGGAGCCCTAAATCCGACCGTCCGTCCGTTCAGTTCGTCAGTTTACGCCAACGCTTTTGCATAAGTACTACCTGAGGATATCGTCCCCGATCATCGATGTGAACGCGTGGAGTACTACTACGTACGTACCGGATGGTTCGATATATGTGAATGCTGTATTAAGTAATAACAAGAAATATATCTCCTCTACTTTTTCCTGACGCGGAGTTGTACTGCCTATGATGCATAATTTGATCGCAGTGTGATCAAAAGACATCAGCTATAATGTCTTAATAATATTATTATGAAGAGTTTACCTTTTTACTACCTTTTACTCTGGTATTTCTCGCTGGCGCCAGCATTTTCTTTTGGTGTGCAAGATTGTCAAAAAGCTAGATATCGTGCAATTTTTTTTCTCATAAAAAAATAATACCAACCATCATCCACATGTACAATAAGGTTGTGTTCTTTCATGGGTGATCTGGTGATTGTGAGTGAGTTTTGTTTCGTTTTTCGCGCACACGCTTCCCGAACTACAAAACGGTGCGTTTTTTGCGAAAAAAAACTATAGGAAAGTTGCTTTAAAAAATCATATTAATCCATTTTTAAAGTTTAAAATACTTAATAGTCAATTAATCATGTGCTAATGGCTCACCTCGTTTTACGTATCTTTCCAATCTCCTCTATCTCCTCTCCTCAAACACAGCCTAAGAAGTGATGATAAGTAGATGCTATAAGAAGTGATGATAAATGCATATAAAGAAGAGAATAACTAAAATGGTGCTTCTATACATCACCCCTAACATGAGTTGCATTATATTCCAAAAGCAAATTAGCATCCATCCCTGGGTCATGCTTTAATAGCTATCAAAATTGTATCAATGCTTAATTCAGAACATAATTAAGGTTCATTGCTGTTGCAGGCTAATACTAACTGATTATTTGACTATATAGTTCTGGTTGTAATCGGAATATATATACACGGTTTATAGCTCAATATCATCTTTTTACTAATCAAAGAATATTTCGATCAAAACAATTTGCCACCTTTCAACATTTAATATATAAATTAGGCTTCTGCCCAACTATGCTGAATCGTGAAACAATATTAATCTACAATTATTAACGTGCTTTAGTTGTCGCATGTCACCAGTCATCTAAAATGGTCTATATATATATAGCATATACTCCCTTCATTCCAAATTGATCTACATATAGTTTTTTTTAAGGTTATTCCTAAATAATCTATATATTTGTGTTCATTCATTAAGTCTATTCGTTATTTGTGCACTGAAGTAAATAGACATTGATGCATGTATCCATGCACACAAATTTATTACCTACATACAATATCTTGATTTGCTATTGACTAGGAAATAGTGGGGATGGCGCATGCATTGAGTTTGTTGCTAGAGCCTAGAGTAAATATAGTATGAGAGAGTTATTAGCTTTTCTTGATCTTAGTATAACTATAAAATATGTATATCAATTTGGAATGGTGGGAGTACTATCAAATTCTCCACGTTGGATTGTTGGTAGGAGCTAAGTGGGTCTTTTACAAGTGCCTAGTTGAAACACATTGAATTGCACGATGGTACTACCTCCGTTCCTAACAGTTTTTAAATGTTCTAAGATAAACAAAAAGTTTACTGCTTATATATATTTAAAATGCAACATACACCTTACTCCCTTCGGTTCTATAATAATTGACGTTTTGGACAAGGTTGAGGTCAAACTTTTATAACTTTGACCATTAATAACTTCAAAAGTATTTAGTTTAAAGAAACTAGAACAACATATATAGATTTGTCTTTCAAAACACTATAATAAAAGTTAACATGCATTTATTTATTGTGTATATTATAATAGAAAAATAAGGTCAAAGGTATATTTTGTAGACCGTGTCATTGTCTAAGACGTCAATTAAAATAAAACTGGAGGGAGTATGAGTTATGACACGGTATCTCCTTAGGTATATAATTTTTCTTTTAGAAATATAAAGTGATTAAAGTTTAAATATAAATAGTAGCCGATAACAAGAATATGTATGTGGGAACAGAGAGAGAGAGCAACATAGCTTCAAACCATTGTGCTATGCTGGCTAAATTTAGGGAATTGGAGATTTAGCTGCAAATTCAGATGGAGTGCCATGTATACCTTTTTCTTCCTAGACTGTGGGCTACCACCTCAAAGGTCTCATGCATTTACTTCAAAATACTTAAAATTAAATAATTAAATTGAATCTGAAAAGGCATCACCTACAAGTGCCAATTAGAACAAGAACATCGAGTATTTTTTTTCTAATAAAAGGATAATATAATAGTAATTTGCTTATGAGTTTCATAATTATAGAGACCCCTTTCTAAACACTACTAAGTACTACCGTCGTCTCAAAATAAGTTCATTTTTGGTTTCTGTGTCCAACATTTGATATCTGTCTTAATTAAAAAAATTAGAAAACAAATTAATCACAAATAAAGTACTTTTATGTTTTATCATCTAATAACAATAAAAACATTAATCATAAATTTTTTTAATAAAATAAAGAGTAAAACGTTGTATCCAAAAACTGAAAAATGAATTTTTTTATGAGACAAAGATAGTAAGGCTTCAAACCAAAGTATCCTAAAACTAGTACAATTTGATAATAAAAAGAGTGACAAAATTTAGCTTTAGTATATGGGTTGAAAGCCTTAACAAAATGTGCCAAAATTTAATATTACTATATTCTGTTAGGGTTAATAGTGGCAACAAACCTTTTATGCCTCTTTTGCCGTAACAATTTACTGAAGAAAAAAAAGGGGAGAAATTTGATAGGCTCAGCAAAACCCCTGTCCGATTCCCGTTCCGCACCCGTCGGAATCCACAGTAGCACTCGTCGCCATGTCCGGCTGCCGCCGCCGCCGCCCCAGCCAACCCTATCCCGGCCCCTCGTTACTCTTCCTCGGCCGCCGCCGGCCGTAGCTCTGCGCCTCTGCCGCACTAACCCTCAACCCCACTTCCCTTCGGAAACTGATCTCCTCCTACTCCCCGGCCGCCGCGGCGCCGTCCACCTCCAGACTCCCCGCATGGCATGCCGGAGTTACATTTGGGGGGGAATACCAAATAGGCGAAGCCCCAACCTCTTTGGGAGCCAGTCTGGCTGGGAATGTGTTCTCGATTGATGTCGACGACGGCCGCCACCGACTCCCTGACCGCCTCCACCCCGCAGCCACGGCGGCGGCGGCGGCAGCGCCACATATACGCACGACGAAATAAGGTACTCGATTTTCCTTCTTGCGTAATCCTGCAGATTGATCCTGAAATTTATCCGCAACCTATTTAAATCCTCTGAAACCTATACGGTTTTCGTTATAAATGCCGTAAATTAAGTCAAGTTAACGTATCTGTTGCAATTGCAAACGAAGAGGTAGAGTCCAAGTGATTTTCTGATTTCACCCACGGGCCTATCTGTTTCATGGCTACTAGGTTCAGAGTTTGCCTCCTCATTAGTGCGCGCTTCTTCTTCGTTTGTCGCCGATCGTTTTTGTTCGTATAGCGACTCGCGGTCGCGGGGACGCATCGAGGATGGGTGCCTGCTGCTGCTGCTTCCCGGTCTACAAACCCGCGAGGGAGAACCCGATGCGGTCGACCAGAGAGTCACTCATCCAGCACAAGCCGAGGCCTACCACGCCGTACCATCCACCACCACCCCCGTTTATCACCTACACTGACAAGGTCGATTTCCCTTTCTCATTGTCGGTATGATCCTCCTGTTGTTGTCGCTGATGGGCCGCCCTTATGTCGTGTTGGCTGCTTGATTCTTGCAGGGCATGAACGCTGTCGAGCGCTTCAAGACTGGGTTCGAGAATTTCAGGAATACTATATACGAGTATTTTTCTGATGCCCTGAGAGTTCGTCGGTGTGTTTAATACGATTTTGTGCTAAATCGAATCTATTTGTTTTTGTCGGTTTTCAGCAAGAGGCCGGAGCTGTTTGAGCGGCTCAAGACTGGCCAGTCACCAAAGGTATAGTGCTGCCATCAGATTAATAGTTTTATACATAGATTATGAAACCTATAATTTGTTCTTTCCAGCACACATAGAATGCGCCGGCATAATTTGCTGTCTCTACTAAGAATTATGCCATTTGGAGGGTGCATACCTCACATTACGCTCTTTTGGTTTGTTTGTGGACTGAAGTCAAACTCGACTAAGGAATTCTGATGGGAACAGCTCATTACCATTGTGACCATTGAGCAATATATATTGATAAAAAAAATAGTTGACAAAATTTTCATCTTCAGTACAAAGTACTAGTGGAATTTCTTCAAAATTCTACATTAGAGGAACTAACATGAACAAAAGCACAGAGCGGCTTACTATAGATGACCAATGACATGGTTCCTGCATATGTTAACTTTTTTTTTTTTTGAAGGACAGACCCGTCTAAATAAATGAATATTTTTGTTTTCTTATTCTATTAGCTTGCTTAGGTTCTAAGTTTTTTCCTTTATGACTTGCGTGAGAAGGGCTAGAGATGTGATTTCTAGTGCTGTAGAGTGTCATGTGGGGAATGCACTACGTCCGCAGGCGCAAGGATCAGCGACAACAGCAAAACGGCAAACAGTAGATATGCAGGATTTGTTTTCGTTTGTTTCAGAGTCTGTTAAAGTTTGTTAGTTTGATCTTTATCTCTAAGAGTTTGTTAGATGGCATTGTAATCTTTACTTAAAGGGCCAGTATGGCGCATGGAATAAACAAGCAATCAGAAAACCAATCTATCGCTCCTTTCCTGCCTTGCTAGTGCGGCGCCGGTCACGGCACCTCCGCGCCGGCGAGGTCCAGGACCACGCCCGGTTACTTCGTTCAAATACTCCCTTCGCCGTAACCCTCCTTCCAATCTCCTAGCCCGTGACAACTTGGTATCAGATTCCTCTGGTTCCGATCCAATGGCCTCTACTCAGAATCAACTCGATGAAATCGCGAAGAACCTCACCTCCATGGCGGCGCAAATCTCCGATCTCGCCAGGAAGATGAGCACCTTGGAGCCCCTCGTGCCGCTCGCGGCAAAACTCGACAAGCTGCCTGATCGCGTCACGCAGGTGCAGGCGTCCGCCTTCGAGTACTCGGAGCAAGTCCGCGCTCTCAACCTCGCCGTCGAGCGCGTCGAGGCTTCCCAGCGCGCGGCCACGACGAACCCTTCTGGCTTGGTCTCACGTCAGCCACGCGACAACACACCGCCACAAGATGACGCTGACGCACGCTCGCGACGCGACCAACACGGCGACGACACCGCGATCGACAACAGCTTCCTTCCTCGCGCCAAACTCGAGTTCCCGACGTACGACGGCAAGGGCGACCCGCTGCCATGGCTGAACCGCTGCGAGACCTTCCGCGGACAGAAAACGCCGGAGACACGCAAGGTGTGGTATGCCTCATTGCATCTAATCGGGGACGCCCAGTTGTGGTATTACAGGATTGAGCTCAATTCTGGCGAACCGTCGTGGCGGAGGTTCGTCCAGTTGGTGCACACTCGTTTCGGGCCACCCATGACGGACAGCCCGCTAGGCGAGCTCACGGCCCTGCGTCGCACTGGCACGGTGGAGAACTACGTCAACAGTTTCCTCGCCTTGGCGTGCCGCGACGTCGAGCTATCCGAGTCCCAGCAGGTTCAGCTCTTCACGGCTGGCCTCGTCAACCCGCTCAAGACTGATGTCGCCCTCTGCCGCCCGCGATCGCTGGACGACGCCATTATGCTGGCACGCGCGTACGAGCAGCGCGCCACCCTTGGCCCGACTGATCCATCCGCGCCGCGCACGGGACGAGTGCCGCGGCCTTCACTGCCGGCGTCGTCGGCCGCATCCGCATCTGCATCGACCACTTCGGCTGATGTTGCCGCATCGACCGCTGCTGGCAAGCAGCCCCTGGTGTCGGCTCTGCCCCGCAAGCGACTTTCTCCAGCCGAGATGGCCCAACGACGCTCCGAAGGGCTATGCTACAATTGCGACGAGAAGTACGTCGCAGGCCACCGGTGCAAGAAGTCGTTCGTGATCGAGGTTATCAGTTTCCCGGAAGACACCGGGGACGAGGAGGACTCCACGCCAGAAGCACACGCCATCACCCTCGACGAGCCGAGCATCTTCCTCCACGCCCTGGCTGGTATCTCTGCTCCTAAGTTCAATACTATCAAGGTGTGGGCTCGTCTCGGCTCGCAGGAACTCGTCGCCCTCCTTGACTCCGGCTCAACACACAACTTCATCAACGATGCCATCGCGCACCAGGCTAGCGTCCCTCTACAGCGCCGCCCCGGCCTCAGCGTAGCCGTGGCCAATGGAGATCGCGTGCCGTCACCGGGCAGGTGCCCGCCACAGCGCGTCTCCATCGGCTCGCACGAGTTCGACATCGACTTCTATGCACTCCCGCTTGGCGGCTACGACATTGTGCTAGGTGCACAGTGGCTCGGCACCCTCGGACCGACGCTATGGGATTTTTCTCGACAATCCCTCGCCTTCGGACCCGCCCACGACCGCGTCACGTGGACAAGTATCGACGCCGCACCGGCGCCCGCCCTTGCTGCCGCCATCGACGGTCAGCCGGGCGACCTCATGACCGATCTGCTCGACGTCTTGAAAGACCTCTTCACCGAGCCGCACGGACTACCGCCAGAACGCCATCTCTGCCACCGCATACGACTGGAGGCAGGGGTATCGGCTGTTGCGGTGCGCCCGTATCGGTACGCGCACATCCAGAAAGATGAGCTCGAGCGACAGTGCGACGATATGCTCCGCCACGGCGTCATCCGGCCCAGCTCGTCGGCATTCTCGTCCCCGGCTTTGCTGATCAAGAAGTGCGACGGCTCCTGGCGCTTCTGCGTCGACTACCGCGCCCTCAACGACAAGACCATCAAGGATAAGTTCCCGATCCCGGTCGCCGAGGAACTCTTCGACGAGCTGCGCGGCGCCAAATTCTTCACCAAGTTGGATATGCGTTCCGGCTACCACCAAGTGCTGATGCATCCGGACGACGTGCACAAGACGGCGTTCCGCACCCACCAAGGCCTCTTTGAGTTCTTGGTGATGCCCTTCGGACTCACGAACGCGCCGGCGACATTCCAAGCCTTGATGAACGACGTGCTGCTTCCGTTCCTCCGCCGGTTCGTGCTCGTCTTCTTTGATGATATTCTAATATACAGCTCGTCTTGGTCGGAGCACCTCCGCCATGTACGCACGGTGTTGCAAACGCTGCAAGATCATTGCCTCCACCTCAAGCGCTCCAAGTGTGAGTTCGGCCTCACCTCCGTCGCATACCTGGGGCATGTCATCTCCGGGGACGGTGTGGCGATGGACCGTAGCAAGGTCCAGGCTGTGCTGGACTGGCCGGTGCCCAAGACGGTGCGCGCTGTTCGGGGCTTCTTGGGCCTCGCCGGCTACTACCGCCGCTTCATCCGCGACTTCGGCGCTATCGCCGCGCCACTGACGGCGCTCCTCCGTAAAGAGGGGTTCCGTTGGTCCGACGAGGCGGCAGCGGCGTTCCGCAAGCTGCAACACGCTTTGACGGCGGCGCCAGTCCTTCAACTTCCGGATTTCAACCGCGACTTCATCGTCGAATGCGACGCGTCGGGTACGGGCCTTGGCGCCGTGCTCCACCAGGGCGGCGGTCCAGTCGCGTTCTTCAGCATGCCCATCGCCCCCCGTCACGCCAAGCTGGCCGCCTACGAGCGCGAATTGATCGGCCTCGTCAAGGCGGTCCGTCACTGGCGACCGTACCTCTGGGGCCGCCGCTTCATCATTCGCACGGACCATTATAGCTTGCGGTTCCTGCTCGACCAACGCCTCTCGACCATTCCACAGCATCATTGGGCGAGCAAGCTGCTGGGATTCGATTTTGCCGTCGAGTACAAGCCTGGAACGGCCAATGTCGTCGCCGACGCCCTATCTCGCCGCGACGAACACTTGGCTGAAGCGTTTGTTCTATCGGCGCCGCACTTCTCGCTGCTCGACGACGTTCGCCGCGAGGTTGCCTCTACTCCATCCCTGGCAAGCCTCCGCGACGACATCATTCGCGGCGCTAAACCCCCGCCGTGGGCATTCAAAGATGGACTGATCGTACTCAAGGATCGGGTGTTTATCCCGGAGTCGTCACCACTGCTACCCGCGGTCCTGGAGTTGGCGCACGGCCACGGCCACGAAGGAACCCAGAAGACCATGTTCAGGCTCCGCGCCGATTTCCATGTGCCACGCGATCGCGTGCTCGTGCAAGATTTCGTGCGCGCCTGCCTCACATGCCAACGGAACAAGACAGAACATCTTCAGCCCGCCGGTCTTCTCCAGTCCCTCCCGGTGCCGTCCGCGGTGTGGGCTGACATCGCTATGGACTTCGTTGAGGGCCTTCCTCGCGTCCATGGCAAGACGGTGATCCTCACGGTGGTGGACAGGTTCTCCAAGTTCGCTCATTTCATCCCGCTGTCACATCCATACACGGCAACCACGGTGGCGGCAGCATTCTTCGGCGACATCGTCCGTTTACACGGTGTGCCGTCCTCCATCGTCAGCGATCGGGATCCCGTCTTCACCAGCAAGTTTTGGACGGAGTTGTTTCGCCTCGCCGGGGTTCAGCTGAATCTGACTTCAGCGTTTCATCCACAGTCTGACGGCCAGTCCGAGGTCACCAACAAAATCATTGCAATGTATTTGCGCTGTCTCACAGGAGATCGTCCTCGTCAATGGTTGAGGTGGCTTCCGTGGGCGGAGTATTGCTACAACACGTCATATCAGGCTTCGCTGCGGACGACGCCTTTCCATGTAGTCTATGGCCGCTCACCGCCGAGTCTGCGTTCTTATGAGCCGGGGAGTACATGCTTGCCAGCCGTTCAGCGCTCGATGCAAGATCGGGATCAGTTTTTGGTAGCCATCCGTGATCGGCTGGAGCAGGCACAGCAGGTGTACAAGCAGGCCTATGACAAGAAGCATCGGGAGTTGAATTTTGATGTGGGCGATTGGGTTTGGCTGCGCCTTCTGCATCGGCCGATGGCGTCGCTCGACACGAGGGGCCGTGGCAAGCTGGGGCCTAAGTTCTATGGTCCCTACCAGATCGTCGCTTGCATCGGGTCGGTCGCTTATCGTCTTCGCCTTCCGCCAGGAGCTCGTCTGCACGACGTTTTCCATGTGGGACTGCTTAAACCGTTTCGGGGTGAGCCGCCAAGCACTCTGCCTCCGTTGCCGCCGACGCAGCATGGTCAAGTCTGTTTGGAACCACAGTCAGTCTCCCGCAGTCGTTTGGCTCGAGGAGTCCGTCAAGTCTTGGTTCAGTGGAAGAACAAGCCGGCGGCAGACGCATCGTGGTTGTCGCTGGATGAATTCCGTGCATTATATCCGGATTTCCAGCTCGAGGACGAGCTGCTTCTCGAGGGAGGGAGAGATGTCATGTGGGGAATGCACTACGTCCGCAGGCGCAAGGATCAGCGACAACAGCAAAACGGCAAACAGTAGATATGCAGGATTTGTTTTCGTTTGTTTCAGAGTCTGTTAAAGTTTGTTAGTTTGATCTTTATCTCTAAGAGTTTGTTAGATGGCATTGTAATCTTTACTTAAAGGGCCAGTATGGCGCATGGAATAAACAAGCAATCAGAAAACCAATCTATCGCTCCTTTCCTGCCTTGCTAGTGCGGCGCCGGTCACGGCACCTCCGCGCCGGCGAGGTCCAGGACCACGCCCGGTTACTTCGTTCAAATACTCCCTTCGCCGTAACCCTCCTTCCAATCTCCTAGCCCGTGACAAGAGTAGGTCTCCACAAAAAAAAAAGGCCCAAAATCGGCACCACATTTTTTGAGAAATGTTTCCTCATAAGTCATAACTGAGTGATTTGCCGATCCATGATTTATTTGGTATGATTGTCTCCGTTTTGATTTGGCCTGGATTAATTGTTCTTTCTTGCAGTACATGGTTTTCTCGTGTGCTGACTCACGTGTGTGCCCAACACTGACCTTCGGTCTACAACCTGGTGAGGCCTTCACTGTCCGTAATATTGCCAGCATGGTTCCAGCCTATGACAAGGTTCATGTTTATGTACATTATATCTTGTCTTTCTTCATGTACTAGTCAGTAACTTTGGCCTGTGTATTCCAGGTGTAAATTACTAAGCCCCGTGTTTTCATGTTGATTGCAGAGAGGGCAGTGCAGCATTGGGTCAGCCATTGAGTATGCTGTGGTTGTCCTCAAGGTCACATCTTCCTTGCGAATAATTAATGTCCTTCTAATCTAAGTCGCATGTTTTTTTGGTTTAGGAATAGAACGGCCTCATGATATTTTGCAGTTAACTTGTATTAGTTATAGAAAAGGAGAGCAGTGGATATCGTAGTATCACCTGCAATAAAGGCACATCCCCATTATGTCGAAGTCATAAACCTAACTGGTGCACTTGTAATGTGATAAGTGGATAAATTATTACCCAATTTCGTGATGACATCATACACAAGACCTTTGTTTGGAAAAGGAGATTAATTCCTGTTTCACTTACCCTTCTCTAATTTGTTCTAGAAATTATCCCATAGAAGTAAAGAAGAATCTTGCGTCCCTTCAAGGGCATGTGTAGGCTCTCTCTTTCATTTGGAAAGCATCCTGTCAAATGCAAATGGGTTTACCATTAGGTTTTGTCGGGGCAATGTATACACAAATCAAGTACCCCTGGTATGATTTAGGGAGTGAACTTCTGTTTTGCATTTCGAAACTGTATGTTCTTTGAAAGTTTTAGAAAGAATGTGCATACACATAGCAGTGCTAGATATTTGTGCGACAACCATCATACAGTCCACTTACTTCCATATTATGAATAATAGAGTCTGTAACATTCATCATGTGTTAAATGATTCTAGCATGGACGAGTTAGCTTTCAGATTATAGCTGTAATTCGGAGTTCTGTAGAGCACTATAGCTGAACTCCGTTAGCTGTATTTATTCTCATTTAAAGTGCCCAAATGGATATGGAAGAATTCCACTCTAGAATAAATTTGGTGAACTCACACATTCGCCCCTTCAACAGTTAACAAGGATCTTATTATTCTCCATGAAAGGCACATGTTGACAGACATCCATTTGGCAGGTTGAATGTATCATTGTGATTGGTCACAGCTGCTGTGGTGGAATCAAGGAACTCCTCTCTCTGAAGGAAGATAGACCTAACACCTTGTAAGTGAACATATCCATACTCGGTTCAAGTTTTTTATATGCTGAAAGCAGTCAAAGGATTCAGATAAGACCATACTTACATGTCCAGGAAGAATCTGTCCCACCCAAACAAGGCCAAGAAGGAAGAAACATTTTAAAATTTAAAATAAAATTACTGTTGTATAAATACGCTTCTTTCACCTATCCCTTTTTGCAATCTCATTTTTGTTTGATTACCTAGCCACTTCGTTGATGACTGGGTCAAGATTGGTCTGGCTGCGAAGAAGAAGGTCGAGAGAGAAAACATGTTACTGCCTTTTGACGACCAATGCACCGTGCTGGAAAAGGTATTATTGCTTGGAACAACATTATATTATTTCTAGTAGAATTGAATTGTGAGTCTTGGACTAAGGGTTCACTGCTTTGACCCACGGACATTGAGCAAAGCGGGCTAAAATTCCCTCACGCCGATATTTGCTTATCTGAATAATGTTAGGTTTGCAAGTTAACTCCCATGGAACTGAGCTTTACTGTGTGGATGTAACTTTTTTAAGATAATGGAAATGGTTTACATTTTCGGGTCTTCCGTGTTCGTCGATAGCGACACATCCAATAAGTGTTTGGGTGAGCTACAGAGTGACAATAGATTTTAAGTTGAATATTAGCATGCTAAATATTAATAAAGTGAATTGCATATTGGGCTATTTATTTTTTATCATGATTTTAGATTGGACCACCCTTAATCCAATGCTTTCGCATTAAACCAGATTTTCTTACCAAAAGATTGCAGTTAGGACCAGTGGCTCACTTGTCAATATTGCCTCTCTCTCATCTCTCTGGTCTCCATTGATGGCTCGTGGTCAAGGTTGAGGTCAAGCTAATGCCGGTGTACGGGAGCAGAACCTCGAGCGCAAGGTTGATGTCAATGAAGCTTGAGTGGAAGGGGACCTTAAGCTCGACCTACATCCACACCGTGTCACGCAAGCTTGACCTTCGTCATCGTCACGCTTGGCATGGGCTCAATCACGACCTCCATCCACACAGTCCCTGGGCTTGAGATCCTCTTCGCCTGTCACCCCGACTTTCGCCCCGCCGTCTCCTGGCTCGCGATCCTCTCCACCATTGTCTTCCTCTCCTCTCTAGCTCACCCTCGATCTCCTCGCACGCCATCCCTAGACTCGATTCCTCTCCGCCAGCATTGGCCCCAAGCTTGACATTGACTTCTGCTTGTGCAATCCTTAGGCTCGTACTTCTGCGCGCCTGCCTTGGAGTCATGAGGACTCGCCAGAGTGATAGAAGAGGAGGTCGATATGCTCTCTCAAGCTCCCATCACGATGCTTCGTTTTTTAGTCCCTATTTAACCTCACTGACAGGTGGGTCCAGGGGCAGAGCCATGATTTTAGGTCGATGGTGTCATTCGTCGGCTCTAATTGACGATCATGGTTTAAGTGAAACAGAAATACATATGAAAAATACAAAAAATTCCTCGCAATAGTGGTTGCTCAACCTATGTTTCACCAAATCACTCAAGAAAACTTATGATGCACGAACTTTATTTAGACATTGTGCATAGTCTTGTTGAATTAGCCGTTGTGTATGGTCAAATAACTATAAATTATAGTTTGCTAGCAGTTATTTTGTTGATGCTGTCAAGTTGTCCATGTCCACATAAGCTAAATTGTCTAATGAAAGTGCAAAATTATTCACACGTTGGTGTCACAAATCAAAATTTACTAGTGTCATTCATTGAAAAATTAGAAGGATACCTTAACTAATAGATGGGTCATTGTTGTCCGGTGACACCACTGCTTGTATGCCAGCTCCACCCCTGGGTGGGTCGTTAGTCCAAAGTGTAACCTTTTGGCAACAAAGTATGGTGTAAAATGGAAACGTTAAGGGAAGAATGGTTCAATGTAAATCTAAGGTAAAATAATATAACCCAATATGCAATTTACTATATATTAATAATAATACACACCTTATTCGTCTTAATAAAAAACTAAAAATTGACTATGAACGATCAAGATCGAACCGACAATTTTTTTTATAAATATCTAATTATGTGTTATGATTAGATTTCTAATGATAAAAGAATACTTTATTAATATCCTATCGGGAGATATCTATTACTAAACTGTATTGAGGGTTGAAACATAGTCATCACATTTGCCTCTAAAGTCTAAAGAACTAGAAATTACTGAGTATATTAAGAGAGGTTGAAATGGAGTCATCACATTCACCGTGCGTCTAAAGATCTAGAAATTATTACCAAGTTATAAATTGAAGAAAATGATATATATATATATATATATATATATATATATATATATGTATGTATATATATATATGTATGTATATATATATATGTATGTATGTATGTATGTATATGTATGTATGTATGTATGTATGTATGCATCATTTGATCATGGTGGGGTCTAAATTATGGTTCTTAAGATTCATAAATAGAGTTGTCTGCCAAAAATATAGAGATTATATTTATGAAAATAGAAGCAACAAAATTGTATACAAAATAGTATAAGTTATTTATGGAAGCATATTATGTAGGATCAGGAGAGCGTCGATGAGATGAGGCTAAATGATCGCATATGTTTCCTGAAACAATTAGCCATTTTAATTGTTACAAGTTACAACAAACAATACCTTTGAGACACATATATGATATATAGCCACTCTAGCCTTACAAACTAGAAATGTGCTTTTAAGAGAGTGCAATTGAGTTTTCAAAAAAAAAAAGAGAGAGAGAGAGAGAGAGAGTGCAATTGGGCCCACAACTAAGACATGCCATACTCACACCATCATATACGTGTGTATCCTCTACAGACGCCTGAAGTATCAAATGCCCTCATGACGTGGGCATCTGCATATATACCCTACAAATGCCCCAATGTGTACTCCTAATTAGAAAAGAAAGAATGTTTTTTTTTTACGACAAGAACAACGTATATCTCATACGCGTCCCACTTATTTGCACAAATATATGTAATTAAAAGTTTGCATGAGGATCGGAGAAGCATGTGAGTAGATTGTCGACGGCCTGGTCAATCAGAGCATGCGGCGGAAGAGATTGTCCATGGAGATGAGCGCGCTGGCGGCCAGCGCAAGGAACCCAAGGAACGATAGCCAAACTGCGTTGTTGATTTTTGTGTTGAGTGGCTCCTTGCCGAACGCGGCCGTCGACGAGGCTGACATTAGGAGGTACGCCAACACCTGCAGCCAAATGAAACCAATTAGCCGCGCGCGCGTGTGCGCTGAAAAACTTCTGCTTCTCCAACACGTATGTTGTGTTTAGTTCGTGTGCCAAATTTTTTTTAAAGTATACGGACACACATTTAAAATATTAAACGTAGACTAATAATAAAATAAATTACAGAGCGAAAGGGCCTGTAGCCTAGTGGTTACAGAGCGAATTTTCTAGGATTTAACGGCGTTGTGGTTTCAGTGGTAGGCGACGTACCCGTCGATAGAGAGGCGTCTGTGGTGACTTCGTCAATCTCTTCAGAATTTGTCGGCCCAGTCTTCGAAGATGCTCATAGGGGTAGGGTTTGCGTGCGTGTGTTCATAGGGGTGAGTGCGCGTGCGTTGTGAGTGTCTGCGTTGTACTGTGTAATTCTCAAAAAAGCCCAGTCTTCGAAGATGCTCATAGGGGTAGGGTTTGCGTGCGTGTGTTCATAGGGGTTATGCTCATAGGGGTAGGGTTTGCGTGCGTGTGTTCATGGGGGTGAGTGCGCGTGCGTTGTGAGTGTCTGCGTTGTACTGTGTAATTCTCAAAAAAAAAATTACAGATTCCATGTGTAAACTGCGAGACGAATCTATTAAGTCTAATTAATCCGTCATTAGCAAATGTTTAATATAGCACCACATTGTCAAATCATGGCGTAATTAAGCTCAAAAGATTCGTCTCGCGATTTACATGCAAACTGTGTAATTGATTTTTTTTTCATCTACATTTAATACTTCATGCATGTATCAAAACATTTGATGTGATGGAAAAGTTGAAAGTTTGTAGAAAAAAGTTTGAATATAAATATGGCCGTAGCTTTGCAATGGCGCATTTTGAGCAGAAGAATTGATGGGTTGATAGATGTTTCAAAAGAAAAATGAAGAACCGATGTATTGTGTGTATTGGGCTTGCCTGATCCAGGAAGAGGCTGACGCAGTAGGTTATCGGGTTCAGAGAAGCAGCAAACCTCGGCGAAATGAGGCGCCCGATTTCGACCACTGCTTGCGCGGTCGAGTAGACGCAGACTATCAGATTCACACCGAGGGCATACCTGTCATAGTACATTGGCGGAGAAGAGAGAATATTTTTAACTAAAAAGGATAATAGATGAAATGAGAAGGGTGAATAGTAAAGTGATCTATGTGGATAAAATAAAACCTGAAGAACCAAATTAAACCTTTGGTGAAACTTAAAGGATTAGATTAGTTATTCACCTAAATTAAAAAGGAGAAGCTGATCACTTTGTAGTGAAGCTAGGAACTGGCTAGTTCCTTTGGGGATCACACCGCTAGATCCACCGTTATTCGACTCCTAACCAATCTACTTCTCTCTCTACTGTGGTCAAGGGCAGCGGTGCCTTGCCTTCCATGGTCATCCTCTAAAGCTGCCCCTCCATTGACCACCCTTACACATCAACCTCTAACCCTGATAAATCTATTCCGTTGTGTTTGCTGGATTTCGGACCATCACTGTTGTTGCACCATCGCCGGAACAAGTTGTCGATGAGTTCTTCTACTTGCTCTTCTGCTTCTTCATCTATTCTATCTAGAGGTTGAAGAAGACTCTCTGCTCCCTGGACCTTAGTCATTAATGAATGTGATGGCCAGGAAAACATTTGGGTGGCTGTGTTTAGATCTAGGGATAAAAAGTTTTAGCGTGTCACATCAGATATATGGACACACATTTGAAGTACTAAACGTAGACTAATAAAAAAGGGACAATTGCTTATTTGACCCTGTTTTGAAGTCTAACTACCAATTTGACCCTATTTTTTTTAGTTTGCTTATTTGACCCTGCTTTTCAAAAACGAACCTTCCGTCTGACCCTGTTTTCTTAACACCGTTAAGATTTGATTTAAAAAAAAGAACGAAATATAATTAAAATTTATAATGCCCAAAATACCCTTGAGAAAACCATACCCATCTCTAACCCTATCCACATGTCTCTCCATGTCTCTCTCTCCTGCCAGCGAGTTGCAGCGGCGGCGTCGGCAGCGTCGCGCGCAGTGGGGAGGGAGGCGGAGGCCGGCGCGCAGCGCGGGGAGAAAGGGGAGCCGGGCCTGGCGGTGGAGGTGGTGGCGGCGGCGTCTGCATCGGCGCGCAAGGAGGGAGGCGGAGGCCGGCATCGACGAAGGGAGGGAGGGGAGCCGGGCCTGGCGACGGAGACGGCGGCGGCGGCATCTGCATCGGTGCATAGGGAGGGAGGTGGAGGCCGGCGCCGGCGAAGGGAGGGAGGGAAGCCGGGCCTGGCGGCGGTGGCGGCGGCGTCTGTATCAGCACGCAAAGAGGGAGGCGGAGGCTGGCGCCGGCGAAAGGAGGGAGGGGAGCCGGGCCTGGCGGCGGCGGCGTCTGCATCGGCGTGCGGGGAGGGAGGCGGAGACCGGTGCCGGCGAAAGGAGGGAGGGGAGCCGGGCCTGGCGGCGGCGGCTCTCGGTGGCATCGGCGTCTGCGGAGGTGGTGGCGGTGGCGGTGGCGTCGGCATCTGCGCGCGCAGCGGGGAGGGAGGCGGAGGTTGGCGCGCGAAGAAGGGAGGGAGGGGCGGCGGCGATGGCAGCCGGCGCCGGAGGGAAGAAGCGACGCGGAGGAATGAAGGAGGCGGCGTCAGAAGAAGAAGAGAGAAGAGAGGAGAGGAGAAGAGAGAACTGACAGGTGGGTCCCACATGTAATAGGGTCAAATGAGTAAGGGCAAAAGGGACCTTTTGTGCTTCAGTTAACACCGTTAGTAGCCCTTAACAGAATAGGGTCATACCGTATCTTTAATTCTGAAAATAAGGGTCAAATAAGCAAAATTGAAAAAAGGGGGTCAAATTGGTAGGTAGTTTTCAAAAGAGGGTCAAATGCGCAATTGCCCCAATAAAAAAACTAATTACACAATCCGTTAGTAAACCGCGAGATGAATTTATTAAGCCAAATTAATCCGTCATTAGCAAATATTTACTATAGCACCACATTGTCAAATCATAGAGCAATTAGTCTTAAAAGATTCGTCTCGCAAATTAGTCGTAATCTGTGTAATTAGTTATTTTTTAGCCTATATTTAATACTTCATGCAGGTGTTCAAACGTTTGATTTGACACGGCGTAAAATTTTAGGGTGGGATCTAAACACCCCCTAACTTTTATTGTAGAATATTTACAAAACCTACTAACAATGCTTGGTCAAGGAAACTCCTGACCTACCGACTCTCATTTCCAAGTTCTACCGGTCGTAACCAACATAGATGAAAATTAAAACAGTAAAAAATATAAATAAAAAATGGAAAAGATTTTGCTATTTCCAAATTTTACCTTATTATTGAGGAAATTATCCTTTTTATAATATAGCAATTACTGTATTTTAAATACCCAATACCATGATTGAGGTCTCTATTTAATCCAAATTTTAGAGTACCATCAATTTCTCAATGAAATTCCAAACTTGGGTGCAAGGCTAAAAGAGAGACAATTTGTAAAAATATGATTTTACAAATTAATGTTTTTGACGTTATTACTAGTTTCCGATCAATTATAACATGTTTTCGTTCGTACAGTTCCATTTTTCAATTTTCCCGATATTTCGGATACAATTTTAATTTTAATTTTTATCATGTTTTATCCCATTTCCGAGAAAAAAAATATGATTATGGCAATGGTTGATTTTTGACCGTTTCCATCCCAGGCTATAATATAGAGGAAGTACTTAATTTTGAGATAAATCTACATACAACTATACAAGGGAGTATTGCTAGCATCTAGACTTGTTGCATGTTAAGAATGCATGATGTTTAGACGCAACAGGCAAGTGATCATGCAATAACCTGTAGTACTGTTCGTAGAGGTCGTAGCGGTCGCTGTCCCACCCGGACGTCCGGACACTAGCCATGAGCACGAACGCCGCCAGGCTCAGCACCGCCGCCGCCACCCGCAGCGCCGCCGACAGCGTCCTCCTGTCCCCCGCCGCCATGTCTCGCGGCACGTCCGGGACGACGTCGGCCTCGGCGGGCGGCGCCGGCGGCTCTTGATCGACCACCTGATCCGGCTCCGGGACGTGCTTCGTGGCGGGCGGCGGCGCCTCGTCGGGGTTCTTCTCGAACTGCTCGGCCTGCTTGAGGTAGGTGTCCATGTGCGGCGTGGTGTAGAGCCGGACGCCGTCGGCTTGGCCCCTGGTGGCGACGCGCTGGCGGTCGTGGGAGGCGAGCGAGGAGGCGGCGTAGGGGCGGCCCTCCTTGTTGTAGAGGTACTGCCTCTCCATGAGCCCCCGCAGCTGCCGCAGCTCCTCCAGGAGCATGGCCACCGTCGGGTTCGCCGCCTGGTTGAAATTCTCCTCCAGTGCCTTCCGCGCCTCCTCCAGCTTGTTCCGCGCGTCCTCCATCTTGTTGGCCTCGGCCATGTCCCTGGCTGCCCTGATCATGTCGGCGTGCTGCCGCCGGGCCAGCTCGTTCTCCACCGGCTGTGGCTTCCTCGCCGCGCCTGGTGCAGCACTCGGTCTGCGTTTTATGGTGATGAGATCGGGGTTGGAGGTCACCTGCTGGGCCTGGAAGGTGAATCTGTACTGTGCCAAGCAGACATTGGCGTCGTACGGAGGGGAGGCGGTCTTGTCAGCAAGCGCGAGGTAGACGATGACCCTGCGCGCCTCTGCGCTGTAAAGGGTGCCGAAGCTGACTGTGACGGAGGAGCCGTCGCTGGCGGTGGTCTGCGGGTAGGTCCCCGCGTCCACCCAGACCACCCTCTTGATGGTGACCTCGCCATGGAACCGCGTGACGGTGAGCTCGAGGTCCTGGGCGATGATGGTGAGGAGGCCGCCAAGGAGCTGGGAGAAGGGCCCCGTGAGGTTGGCGCTGTCGGCGACGTAGTTGAACGTCCCGCCAAGGCTCTTGCGCGCGATCGCTTCCAGCAGGTTGGAGTCGTGGCTCGCGCCGAAGCTGAAGGTGTAGACGGGGACGTTCTTGAGATGGACGTCCCTGGCGTCGCCGCCGTGGTTCTGGTAGCCGTCGGACATGAGCATGACGCTGACGGCGCGGCCGGCGGCCAGACTGCGGCCGTCGACAACGCTCATGCCGGTCTCGAGGCCGCCCTTCATGTTGGTGTCGCCGTAGGCCTTGAGGCCGTCGACGAGGGCCTTGAGCTCGGCCTGCGCGGCCGCCGTGACGAAGCGCAGCGGGCAGAGGCGGGTGGCGTTGGTGCAGAAGGTGACGATGCAGAGGCGGTCGAGGTCGCTGAGCTTGCGGATGACGAACTGCAGGGCGGTCTTCACCTTGTCGATCCTGTCCCCGTCCATGCTGCCGCTGACGTCGATGACGGCGACGAGGTCCAGGCCCGCCCTGTCGGTGGACGAGGAGGAGCCCCTGAGCTCGAGCAGCAGCTCCTGGTCATGGGGTGCCATGGACGCGACGTCGTTGTGGTACTTGTTGAGACGCACTTGCTTCACCAGTTGGCCCGTGATCCCCACCGTCGGCCTCGCCGGCTCGGTGGCGGTGCTCGTCGGAGCAGTCTGCTCGTCGTCGTTGTACGCCATCTCTTCGCGATCACTAGCTAGCTTCTTGGTTGTTGGCAAAAGCAGCTAGCTCTGCGCGATCTCTATATATACAGCACTCCACGGCACTCATCACGAGCGTGTAACTTTTACAGCGGATTTGCCAAAAAAACTTCCACAAGTTTTTTTCCCCCCTAAAACTTTCGGATTTATGACCATCGGATCATCTTGAGATTTATACATGAAGGAAAAATATTGCTGGAAAGAAATTTTTATACATGTTACGCATAAGATTTCAGTACTACCTAACCTAACCAAAGCGCAGTTGAATACAAGTTTTATGTAAGTTATACCGTAATTGCAACGTAGTTATAATCAAGGTTGACAATTTCAAATTTGGACTTTATGCCAAGGGTTACTGAAATTTTGGAAATTTCGGAACGAAATTATTTGAAATTTTGATTGATTTTGAATGAATTTGAATAAAATTTGACCAAATTCACAAAAATTTGCAAAAAGCCAAAAATTTCGGATGAGATTTGAGCATGCCGGCGGGGGGCGAGATTACCGAAATTTCGGGCGAGATTTCGGAAATTTCAAACTAAAATTTCAAACCCTGGTTATAGTGCAGCTACATGTAATTACACTTCAATTATACTATAGTTACATCTGAAATTTTTTTACTAGAAAAACTTACGGCAGTTTTTTAGATGCTCTCCACCGATAATACAATAAATTTTGGCTTTGTTTCAAGAAAAATCCCAACCATGAGCACAAACCATATTCTCCATAAATTAAAGAGCACAAAATGTCACAAGTGTGTTAATAAGCGATGACATGCCCATCAAGTGAATTATTCGTTATATTAGGTGAGAGTATTTTCATCCTTGTAGACAATTATATCTCCTATATAGTCATATAACTTTTTGAAAACGTGTTCTTCCATAATAAATATGCAAGTTTGAATTTGACATACACAACTAAAAATAAAAACAACAATTTTCTTGTGAATAATGCACTATTCGCATTCAAATATGTTTTTTCTCCTCGTAAATGTCAAATTTAAAGTTGTATATTTGTAAAGATATTGTCACGCCCCGAACTAGCCCCGACTGGAACTAGCCCGTGACGCTCCAAATTAACCTGTTAATCGATACCAGTCCCAGGAAACAGTGCTGGTATCACAGGAAGACAGAATATCACAACTGCAATACAAAAGGGGAAACGGAAGCCAGGACTTGGACCAATCATCACAGGCGCGACTTGGGAACTAGGCCGAAACCCTAAAACTCATCGTAGCCGGCTTGCTCCTGGAAGAACTCCACATCAACAGGATCCGCTTCATCTTCTTCAGCAACTGGGGGGGATTATTTATCTAGAGCAAGGGTGAGTACGGGAGTACTCAGCAAGCCAGGGGAAATAAGTGTTTAATGCAGGCTTCAAGGAAAGGCTGTTGTTTTTGCAATTGGTTTTATTTGAACTCTTTTCTAAAACAACTAGGTGAGTGCTTCTCAAACGACACGGATGAGACAGTGCGTCTCGTCCGGTCGGAGTATGTGCAATGTATCAGCTCTTTAGAATTGAAACAAGATTGGCACCCGGCCAACAGCTTTTTAAACGGCCACCCGGGCCAACAACTTTTCAAACGGCCACCCGGGCCTAGCTGATCCCGTCAGCTGCTGATTTTTCAGACGTCGAACCCATTTTCACGACAGCAATTTCACAATCAGTAGTCAAACAAAACTACGCTAGGAATCACCTCACATCCGCCCATGACCGTGGGCACGACTGTTCGAACAGTTTGTTAACCTCTGCAGAGGGGGTACACTTTACCCACACGACATTACTAACCCGGATCACCCAGCCCGAGGGGATCAGCCACGTCGGGAGACCTCCAAGCTTTCATGACAAGGCATTTCGAAAGCCGATACAGGTTTACCATATGCCGACGAGAGGGGTCCCAGACCAACAACAGGGTAGGTCCCAGACCATACTGTGCCAGCAAGCCCAGGGGTCCTCCCCGACACCACCCCGGTGAATCCACATGTCTCTCGGCATCAAGGCTCCCCTGATAAGCTAGTTACTCAGCCAGGGGTGTCCCATTCCACCCATGTGGTCGTACTTATCTTATGTTTGGATGAAATTCCAAGGAATCGGTCCTTAAGTGCGAGAGCGGGAAACCGTACACCCGGTACGTTCCCCGGTCCGCGGTTTTGGAAATTCATTTAGTTCGCAAGCACCGACCCAGGTGTCGGGTTTTCCAAGTCTTTTGTAAAACTCCAGTTTTACCCAAGTTGGTATTCAGATTTTAAGTTTGAAGGCGTCCGTCGATACTCGCACGGGGTGCACGAATATCGAGACGCAACTAGATGGTTACAAGGGGACCAGATATAGCAATTAACAATGGAAGGATCAAATGCAACAAATTGGGTAAGTCCGCCAATCTGCCTTGCAGACGGGACAGCAGATTAAGTGCGATCCTATCAATGCATAATATTTTTTTTCAAGCAACATAATTAAATTTCAAATATAGGTTCAAGATGTTCAAAGGTGGCTTGCCTTGCTCGAGATCTGGAGCTTGATCCTCGAAATCCTCGCACTGCGGGTCTTCGGGCTCTGAAACTACACGCGAAACGGGACAACTCAACAAACGGCGAAAAAAATAAAGCCCTATTAATGACCTCTAAGCGTGCCATTAGATAGATCTCGAGATTTGGGGAATTTTGGAAGTTGAACGGAGTCAAACGGATTTACGGTTGGGAAGATATTGAATTTCTAAGATTATTGGATTTTTGATCTAAAGGAAAAAGGATTAAATTAAATCCTTTTTGAGAAAAATAAAAAGGAAGAGGGAGGAGAAGTAGACTTCTCTCGGGCGGCTAGGGCGCGGCCCAAGGGAAATGGAGCGGACCGGCCGATCTTAACGGGCCGGCCGGCCCAAGACGGCCCAAGCGCGCGCGCGGGAGGGAGGAGAGAGAGTCCGGTGGACCGGGCTCACCACGCGCGGTCCCGGGTGGGACCCGCTTGGCAGCGGCTCGGCTCACCGTGCGGAGGGAATTTGCGGCGTACGCGCGCGGGCGGAGCTGGGACGCGGTGCACGCGCGCGGTTCGCGGAGGAACGGATGCGGCGGGCCCACGCGCAGCCTCACGGCTCACCGCGGACCATGCGCACGGGGAAAAAACGGAGGGAGCGGCTGGCCGGGTCGGCTGATCCGGTCGCGGCCGAGGTGGCGCCGACGTGGCGCCTACGTGGCAGCCACGCGGGCCGGCGGGAGGTAGACGACGACGCCGGCCGGAACGGACGGCGGACGACAGCGGCGAGCGGCGGAGCGAACCACGGTGATACGGGCAACAGCGAGCACACCGGGCGGTTGCACGTGACAAGGGGAGGCGAGCCAACGGCTTGGATTCGCCGGAGGTTGCTCGACGGCGGCGGATTGCGGCGGCGGCAACCGATGGCGGGAGAAGAGGGAAACGGCGACGAGGTCACGAGAGGTCGATTCCCGGCGGTGAGAGCATCTACACGGCGATGACGACGGCGCTGACGACGGCGGTGGCCAGGCGGTCGGCCACCACGGCACGCGCGCGCGGGAGGCAACGGGCGGCGTCCACGCGGGCGCGCACACGCTGGCTCGCGGGGCCGAGCGGCTGCGCGGCTGCAGGCGCGACAGAGCGAGGGGAAAGGGAGGGGGCGCTCGGCGCGGCGGCTCACGCGCACGCGCACGCGGCGCGCGGGCGGGGCGGAGAAGGAGGGCGAGGGCGCCCGGGAGAGAGGGGGCCGGGGTAGAGAGAGAGAGAGAGATGGCGCCGGGGAGAGAGGGGGCCGGGGAGAGATGGGCCGAGCGGAATTCGGCCCATCGAACCCGGGGAGGCAAACTAGACTTTTGCGGAGGAATTTAATTTGGAGGGATTTGGATTCGGAATTGAACTCGACGATAGATCGGGGATTGAGATCTTGAGATGGCACGGACACTAGACAACAAGCAAAGAAACAAATTTCGCAATTAGGGTTTTTAAGAGATAATTTTCCCGCTAGGTGCCACGACGGAACGGGCGCTATAGATATATTTTATATTTATCTATCTTGTTGTTTTTTTTTAAAAAAAATCTTTTTAGTTACATTTTGGATGACATGTACAAATCACTAGGGAAGACAATAGTTCACCTCAGTTATATTACTTTCCTGTCCCGAAATATAAAATCTAGGAGTTGATCAGACATAACCTATTACAATAAGGATATCTTGATATATTGTACAAGGTTATGTCCAATATATCTTTTCTTAAGTCACTACTCCTTTCGTCCCAATATACTGCAATCTAGGATATGATGGGATTATATTCATATATCCATATTCGTAGTCCTCCTATCCTAGGTTGCTACATATTGGAACGAAGACTGTATATTTTAGGACAAGAAGAGTATGTGAGAAGAGTGGGTGCCTTGAATGAGAATTAAATGAAGCTAGGATGCACTTAATTAGTACTTCCTATGTATTGTACGGTTATTTGTTAAGGAAGAAAAGAATTGATCTAGAGTAGACTTGACATGCAACAAGATCTGTCGCTCATGATCACCATGCAGAGCAAAATTTTAGGAACTATCTATATATGTCGTCGTATTTTTATAAAAAATAGTCGGCATATATTTATATTGTAAATTCTTAAAATTATATATGTAAGTGAATATAAGTAGATGTAAGTACAATCTAACGAACATATATTGTAAGTCAGATTCTTTTCCAGCTCGATATTACCCAGGGGAACTTGCTCTTCTGGAATTCGAAGACATTTCTTTAACTGGGATACGTGGAACACGTTGTGCACATCTGCGAGACCTTCAGGTAGCTCAAGCTGATAAGCCACTTCGCCACGTCTGGCGGTTATGAGGTAGGGGCCGATGTAGCGGGGTGCTAACTTGCCGGACATCCCAAACCTTCTCATACCATGGAGGGGTGATACTCGCAGGTATACATGATCTCCTTTTTCGAACTCAAGGTCACGTCTCCGATTGTCAGCGTAATTCTTTTGGCGGTTCTGCGC